ACCTCCCCAGAATAACTAGGTCCTCAATTATTTTTCTCTCTCTGTAATTAACTGCATTTTTTAGGTATTTCTTTTTTCTTTTTTTTCTCTAGGTTTTTATAATGCCAGTCTCTTCTTTCTGTCACAGAGATTGTAAATATGTATTTTCACCTTAAATTGGCCTTTTAATCTTTTAGGGATGATTTGATTTATAGACTCTTCGAATATTTTAAATCAATTCTATATACACACACACACACACACACATTTTACAATTAACTGCCGATTTTTAATTCAATGTGTTTACTCAATAACATGTACACACTTGTACACATGCTTTTTATTCTATTTTAATGGTGCTATTTTTGTTTACCCCTCTTATCTATGCACTCTCCTTGGAAGAGTCCACATGGAAGGCAGTATCTGAAAGGGGAGCCATAAGGACTGTCACTAATGAGAAGTGCTGCGTGGTGAGCCAAAGAGGTAACAGACCTGTTGTGTTTAGGATGATCAGATTCCATCTTCACTGGCTTGTCCAGTTTAAGCGGGAGTACTGATCAATGACGGCCATGCAAGACAGACTTGTGATGTTCAGAACAGAAGTTCACATTTATCAGGTGTCCATTGTATGTCACATGAAACACACTAGAAAACTACATGCATCATCTCATTTAAACCACACATTAGTCTTACAATGTAGAAAATATGTATGACTCCCATTATAGAGGGGAGGTATCTGCAGCTAAGAGAGATTAGAGAACTTTGTCAAGGTCACACACAGGAAGTTGGTGGACCAAAATTCTATTCTAGGAAGTCTCAGTCAAGATCCCATTTTCTGAATCACATCTCTGCCCTGCACTTTGGGAGAGTTATCAAAGNGATAAGTAAGATTTCTGATAAATTTAAAACAGGCTAAATAATTACATTTAAAATGAAAGTGGCTGCCATTTGTCTGAGTGAATCACTGTCATTGGAAGGACTAATTGAGGGTGAAGGATGTCCTTACAAGGTGGAATCTAAAGGTGACAATTAGCTCTTGGCAGTTCACTAAACATTGCTTTGGCTTCTCTCTCCAGCAGACACACCAGCTGCATGGAAGCAGGAAACCACACAGAAGTGTCAGACTTTCTGCTCCTGGGTCTCTCAGAGGATCCTCAACTACAGCCCCTCCTCTTTGGAGTGTTACTGTCCATGTACCTGGTCACCATACTTGGGAACCTTATCATCATCTTGGCCATCAGCTCTGACTCCCACCTCCATACCCCCATGTACTTCTTCCTGTCCAACCTGTCTTTTGTTGACATCTGTTTCACTTCCACCATTATCCCAAAGGTGCTGGTGAACATCCAGAAACAGAGCAAAGCCATCTCCTACACAGGATGCCTCATTCAGGTGTATTTTTTTATGATTTTTGCTGGACTGGATGGTTTCCTTTTGACTGTGATGGCCTATGACCGGTACGTGGCCATCTGCCACCCCCTGCACTACATGGTCATCATGAACCCCCAGCTCTGTGGCTTTCTAGTTCTGTTGTGTTGGCTTGTAATTTTCTGGGTCGCCCTGGTACATACAGTACTGATGAAGCAGCTGACCTTTTGTGTAGGTACTGAAATTCCACATTTCTTCTGTGAGCTGACTCAGATTCTCAAGGTGGCCTGCTCTGACACCCTCATCAATGACATCTTCTTATATGTGACTACTGCCCTACTGGGTGTGTTTCCTCTCACTGGGATTCTCTTTTCTTATTGTAAGATTGTCTCTTCTTTAATGAGAATGTCCTCTGCAGGGGGAAAATATAAAGCATTTTCCACCTGTGGGTCTCACCTCTCTGTCGTGTGCTTGTACTATGGGACAAGCCTGGGGGTCTACTTCAGTTCTGCTGTGACCCCTTCTACCCTACAAAACTCAGTTGCCTCAGTTATGTACACTGTGGTCACTCCCATGCTGAACCCCTTCATCTACAGCCTGAGGAACAAGGATGTGAAGGGGGCGTTGGGAAGGCTCCTTGGCCAAGGAGTCCCTTGTCTGTAATGGGTCACTCGCCTCAGAACTAAGTGGACACCGAATTCTCAAAGGCCAGGTTGGGGATTTAAACCTGGTTCTTTTTCTTTTCTGAAACACGCTTTATTTCTTCTGTTCTCAAAGCACCTGAGACTTTCTTTTTCTTTTCTTTTTAAATTTTATTTTTCCATCACATTTTACATTCAGTATTATTTTGTATTAGTTTCCGGTGTACAGCATAGTGGTTAGAAAATCACATACTGTATAAAGTGTTTCCCCCAATATTTCCAGCACCCACCTGGCACCACACATAGTTATTACAATATTATTGACTCTATTCCCTGTGCTGTACTTTCCATCCCTGTGACTATTTTATAACTACTAATCTGTACTTCTCAATCTCTTCACCATTTTTACTCAGTCCCCCAACTCCCTCCACTCTGGCAACCATTAGTCTGTTCCCTGTATCTATGAATTTGTTTCTATTTTGTTTACTTTTTTGTATTAGTTTCTCCTCAACACCTAGTAATTTTTGTTGTTGTTAAGCCTTACCCAAAGGTAATTTTTTTCCATTGATTTTTAGAGGAGAAGGGAGGGAAGGTAGGAGATAGAAACACTGATGTGAGAGAGACACATCAATTGGTTGCCTCCCCCATGTTTTCCGATTGGGGCTGGGAGATTGAACCTGCAACCCATGTATGCGCCCTTTACTGGGTATCGAATCCACAACCCTTTGGTGCCCAGGCTGATGCTCTACCACTGAGCGACACAGGCCAGGGCCTCAGTAATTCTTTTTATCTTTTTCTTCTCTATTTGCAGCCCCGGAAGTTTTATCTTTCTTACAGCCATTCCTGGGGTTTCCAACATTAAATTTGAGGCACTTATATGAAGTGCTGACATGGTTTTCCCCCAAAATTATCCTCTCAAATGTTGATACGCTTCACTTTAATTTGGTTGTGTATTTGTTTTCCTCTGGAAGTAATGGAATAAAAATCACACAGTAGTTATAAGTGCTTACCATATCAGGTAGTTACACGTTGTGGAATATATTCAGAACTTAGTCTGCTTTTTGAAATGAATTTTGATAGAACTGAGTCTGCAGTGAAGGGTGGAGTAGAAAAATCTGTCAGCATTGCTCCCATGCCTCTGAGATCCTTTCAGTATCTGCCTTGCATACCAGCCTGACTGCCATGGTCAGCAGCAGGTGGGACCTACTTTTCCCAAAGCATGGTGGCAGAAGTGACAGGGAATCATGCCCTGTCAGGGACAGCTCTTGATGGAGAGATGTGGGGCATCACATTATCCTTCACACCTTAGCTGGGATAATTCTGAAGTTTGGCTCCTGTGCACACACTTTCTAGAATTTCCCTACAGTTTGAAAACTCAGGTTACTCATTGTGGGAACTGACGTGAGGTAAATTTTATCGGATGTATTTACTTCCCTGTATCACATCTCCTCTGTCCAACCCATGTTCCGTGTTTCTTGCTCCTTCCAATAAAGCACTTACACAAGAGTCCTTGGCTCATTGTCTGCTTCTGGGAGAACCAAAACTAACTGATAAAGGCTCTGAAGGGTGGGGCAAAAAAGAAAGAAACCAAGTAGTAGGTGTATAGTAAGATCCTCAAATTACTTAAAAATCACAATGTATTAGTAGGAAAAAGCACACTTGAAGTGGCTTTGATTCACTTTGGTTCTATTAAGTTTAATCCAATGTGTACTTATTGTCTACTGTACACAAACTGAAGAGGGGCCCGAAGATGTAACCATGCTTTCAACACAGAGTGGGAAGCATAATAAATTGTATGTAATGGAGCCTGTTGAAAACAAAGGTGAAAGTTTTCAACTCACTTTGAATTAATTCCAGAGAAAACTAAATTTTTTTATTTCACAGTTTTATTCAGGTATAATTTACCCTGCAATTCACCCCTTGAAAGTATAAGTTCAATAATTCTATTAAATTTACATAGTTATGCAGCCATTACCGCAATCCAGTTATAGAATATTTTGATCATCCCAGTTTCCTCGTGCCCATTTGTGGTTAATGTCCACTCCCACCTCAGTACTAGGCAACTACTTATGTGCTGTCTGTATAAGTCGGCCTTTTCTAGATATATCAATGAAATCATACAATATGTGATCTTTTGTATCTGGCTTCTTTCGATTAGTTAGCATAAAGATCTTTTAGGGTTATCCATGTGGGAAACATGTATCAGCATTTTGTTCTCTATAATTACGTAATAGTATCCAAATGTATGGTTGTACATTCTGTTTATCCATTTACGAGTTGATAGCTATTTGGACATTCCAGTTTGGGGTTATTATGAATATTATTATGGACATTTGTATACATGTCTCTGTGTTGACTTGTGTTTTCATTTCTTTGGGGTAGATAATTTGAAGCATAATTGCTGGTTCATACAGTAAATTTACATTTAATTTTTAAGAAACTACCAAGATGAGAAAAGACATAGGGCACAAGGCCATACGGAGATAGAGGAAGAGATTGAAGTGATGCAGCCACAAGCCAAGGAATACCAAGGATTGCCCACAACCACCAGAAGCTGAAAGATAGGCGTGGGCAGATTCTCTTTCAGAATCTGTTGACACCCTGACTTTGGACTTCTTACCTCCTAGATTGTGAAAGAATAAATTTCTGTTGTTTTAAGCTAAAAAAACTTACCAAACAGTTTTTCAATGTGGCTGCACCATTTTATATTCCCACCAGAAATGAATGGAAGGGGTCTGTTTTTCCACATCTCCACCAACACTTGGGATTAAGAAACAACTTCTAATGGGAGACTATAGTTGAGTATTGAGAAACAAATAATCTGTAGAAATTCAACTGGAGAACGGATTTGGGTAGAAAGCAGAGTACAGGAAAATAGGAGCTAGAGCAGGGGTGCGGAACCTTTTTTCTGCCAAGGGCCATTTGGATATTTATAACATCGTTTGCAGGCCATACAAAATTATCAACTTAAAATTAGCCTGCTATATTTGGCCAAACATTTAATTAACTCACCCCTAATGTGATGGCTGGAACTACCTCTCTGGTGAGGCGTGTGATGTTAGCTGGTACTGATGTTGCTACTTGCAACTGCTTTTCCAGGTTTGCGTCAGTCAGTCTGGAGTGCAATCGACTCTTTGCTATGGTAAGTTTTGAAAAGAATTGCTCATGGCAGCAAGTTGTCACAAACACAGATGCATATTTCAATGCATGTTTCCTGAAAGTGGGAAATTCATCACTGCTTCTGTAACGTTTATAGAACTCAAGCAGCTGGGGGTTGTTGTACTTAGCTTTTAGCTCATCATCGCTTTGCAGCTTAATGATTTCGTGTGGTAGGTTATCAGGCACATCAGCTGGTTCCACATTGAACAGTGTAGCAAAGATGTTCAATCCCATTCATTTACTTTTCACGTCCTTGAATCTTTCATTAAATGCCTCAATTGGTTTCGCACATTCACCAGCATATTAAAATGTCATAGAAGGCTTTTGTCCTTCCAGAGTGGGGAAATGTGTCATTTCAGTGTGTCATTCCTTTCAAGTTGCAGTTTCCCCAGACTTAATTTAGCTTCAAATGATTTCACATTTGAAAACAGGGAGCTGAGAAGCTGGTTGGGGGTCCTGCAGCTTGACGTTCAGCTCTGAGAGGTACTTGGTAATGTACACTAGATCACACAGCCACTTGTTATCATTGGGTTCCCTGACAGGTTTTCCCCTCAGTTCGTAAAACCTGAGGAACATGTTGCTGCGACCAGCCACCGAACTTCACAGTGATAAACAAGATCACCATACTCAGAGTCAAGATCATTCAGTTACTCCTTAGATTGGTAGCTGTTAAACCCTCTGCTTTTGACAAAATTTATGCAAGACACTACTGTTGACATCACATTGTTGAGCCGCAATGACTATGCATGGAGACTTTCTTGGTGTATGATGCAGTGACATATTTAAATCACTTGGATCAAGACTGAGACAATTCAGTTCTTTCTTGACAAATGCAATTAACACTTTTTGTGAGGCAACTATGGCTGGAGCTCCATCTGTAGTAAGGCCACTAAACTTTTCAAATGTTAGCTCAAGTTTTTTCATTGATAAAACAAGTCTCTCAAACAAGTCCTCACTTCTTATAGTGCCATGCATGGCTTCCAGTGACAGGAGTTCCTCTTGTATGTCAAACTGCAGTTATTCCACTAACAAAGATGGCCAGTTGGACAGTACTTGCTATGTCCGTTGTCTCGTCTACAAGCCAGAGAGAAAATCTCCTGTAGAATCCTTCAGTGAGAACACGCCAAGATAACCAAATGGGAACTATGTGGACTAGCTGAGGAAATCACATGGCATCACTATGATGTACTCCCCTTTAGGAGAAACAGTCAAAAGTCTGCACAGCTTCAAGGGGAGGTAAGAGCATCAAAGAATTTTGGGGCCATGTTCTAAAACAATCACAGTCTGTACTTTGGCCACACATTATTTACATACTTCCCACACATACAGTCACTGTTTCCTAAAACCATGCCAAAATCTCATGTCTGTAGTATCAGACTCAGCTTCTACGTCCAGGATCTTAACATCTAAATCTGACCCAATCTGGAAAAGACACCCTGGATTTGTTTTTTTAAATATGTTTTTCTTGATTTGAAGATCCATGAATTAAAGAGACATATTATCCACTTCCCAAATACCAAATGTATAATTGTGAGACGAGGATAATCAGAATAGACATTTGTATTAAAAAAGCAGTGTGGTCCTAGCGGTGCTCAGTGGTTAGAGCGTTGGCCCACGGATGGAAGGATCTTGAGTTCGATTCTGGTCAAGGGCATGTACCTTGGTTGCAGGTTTTATCCCTGGCCCTGGTTGGGGCACATGTGGGAGGCAACAAATTGATGTGTCTCTCTCACATTGATGTTTCTCTCTCCCTCCTTCCCTCTTTCTCCCCCTCCCCACTTCCTTCCACTTTCTCTCAAAATCAATGGAAAAAGTATCCTCAGGTGAGGATTAACAAAAACACACACACACACACAAAATAAAAAGGACTTCCCTTGGCCAAATTTGGGAGCGTTTAAGCATCAAAATGAATGACAGCAATTGACTACAATATAGTAAATGAAAGAAAAGTCCAAGAATATGTTGTGATACTACAAAAAGAAAAAAAGTATAGAAGGGGGGGAGGGAGAGGAGGAGAGGAAGGAAAGCTCCTCTTCACAAAAGACTGCCAGCTAAAGAATGGAAAAGGAATAACAAAATTTGAAAAAACAACATTTGTATCCCCCAATATAAAAACAGGTTAAGGCAAAAATCAACCAACTGATGCTAAAACCACTGGGTGAAAGGCTTTGCGGAACAAAGTGCCACCGATAGATTACCACAAAGAAAAATGTGGTAATGTATTAACATCACTAATAAACAGCAGGACAACTTGCATTCCAGTGTTCCCTGATGAGATACAATATGAAGTACACATCACCTAGGAAACTTTCAAGTCTCTAAACCTGTGCAGTGATAGCCACTGGCTGGCTACTGCAACTGAGGAACTGATTTTTTTTTAAAATCCTCACCCAAGGATATTTTTTCCATTGCTTTTCGGAAAGAGGGGGAGGGAGGTTAAGAGAGAAAAAAAGAGAGAGAGAGAAAGAGAAAGAAACATCAATGTGAGAGAGAGATATCGATTGGTTGACTCCCACATGCGCCCAGATCAAGCCTGCAACCAAGGTGCATGCCCTTGACCGAAATTGAACCCAAGACCCTTCAGTCCTTGGGCTGATGCCCTAACCACTGAGCAAAACTGGCCAGGGCTAAGGAACTGAGTTTTTAATTTTATTCACGTTTAATTAAGTTTAGATATAAAATTGATCCCATTACTAAAAAATTTTTAGTATGTTTGGAACAATCTGAATTTGTAAATCTACTTTTTGAACAGTACATTTTACAAAATCTGAATACAGATCAACAATTTCCAATTAAAATTTAGCATCCACATTGAGATTTGCTGTAAATGTAAAATACACAGTAGATTACAATCAGTAGGAAACAAATGTAAAAGTTCTACTAATAATTTTATATTGACTACATTTAGTTTCACCAATAATTTTCTATTGATAACTGGGTATGCTGGGTTAAATAAATTATAGAAAATAAAGTCACATGTATTTTTAATTTTTCTAATTTGGCTGGTAAAAATTTTAAAAATTACATCTATACCTTGCATTGTATTTGTATTATATACTGCTCTAGACCCAACCTGCACTTCACAAGAACTCCAAGAGGCAGACAAGTAAACAAAATCATGGGAAAACAACATTGTATCAGAACACAAACATTTTACAATACAGGGATTGGCAAAAACAGATTTACAGTTTTTGTATGGAAAAAGAATGTATGTTATGATCATTACAATAGCTTTATTAACTCAAAAGGATGACAACTGTAAACCTACTTTTGACAACCCCTGTAAAACTCTCCTGGAATCTTCAAGAACCAAAATTAAATTTTAAGAAGTGCAGGGAAATGTTTAGTTGTAATAGATTAAAGAGATCGAAAAAGAAAATGTAATGTCGGAATCTCATTTGGATCTTAGCTTCAAAAAAACCTTGCGGCTCTAATAGATACTTCTGGGAAACTGGAGAAATTTGATTTTCTTGGGTGGACAATGGAGTTTGTTTTTGTTTTTGAAGGAGACAGGCCCTTTTTTTAGGAGGTGCATGTTTAAGGGGTGAAGTGAATGTCTGCAATTTACCACTAAATGGCTCATCATCACAAGTATCTATATCAAGAGCGACAAATGAGACAAATCTTAACAATTAGTGAATCTGAGCAAGGATTCGTGGATGTTCGTTTTACTGGCGCTACATGTAGAATTCCTTCAGATAAGATTTTCTAAATGAGTAACTGGGAGAACATTCCACCCGTCCAAACTCATAAAACTCAGGGTTAATTCAATTCCAACTTCTGCTAACAGCAGAAATCAGCGTGCATCGTATTTCTTCCCAGAGACGCCCCCGTTTTGACGCGCTGGGGGGTTGCAGGGCTCTCAGGTGAGCAGACTTGAGATCAGAGCAGGCAGCCCGCTTTTCCTCCGTGGTCAATGCGGCATTTATAGTCCTTCATCCACTCACGCATTTATTTACATCTGACACTCGTGCTCCCTAACAACCTGGAAAGGTTTTCCTTTCCACTGGAATGTAACTTACCAAACCTCCATAACGGACACCCACGGCCGGAACAATTCCACGGAGCGCTCACCGGGACCCGACGGAAGTGCCGGGCTGGTGGGGACAGGGGGACCCTGGGGCCCAAGTCTGTGACGCCAATGACTGGGATGCTTTTCCTTCCGAAAAAGGGGCACAAAACGTGAAGCAGGGGCTTTTGCACAGGGAAGGAGGCCGGCCCGCCCCTCCTCAGGTTGCTGCGCCGCGCAGCGCCGGCCGAACTCTGGGGTGGGGAAGGGGTCGCGTCAGCGCGCGAGGCCAGCGCCGTGTGACCCCGCCTACTCTTACCTCAGACTCCAGAGGGAGAGCAGTCAAGATGGCCGTCGCTTCCTGCACACGCACACGCGCGCGCACGCTCAGTCTCCGCGATCAACGTGAGGGGCGGGGCCCCGGGAGCTTTGACAGTCGCGGGGGAGTCGTCGCTTCCAGCTCTCGGAGATGCAGTTGAGCTCTGGGTTTGAGCTGGAAGGCGGGGCGGTGGCCGAGGACCCCTGCGGTGGTTTATTTTCCTCCCTAGCCCATGCCTCTTACACTTCTTACATGAAGAACAATTGCTTTGTGGACTAAAAAGTAATATCACTAGGTGTTTAATCACTAAAAAGAATTTATTGGGGTTGGGGGGAGAAGAAAAGATTGCAACCCGGTGCATGCAGACATGGCAAGCCATGTGGTGGTCTGCATGCGAAGATGGAGGGGTGTTTGTAGAAGGGAAAAGGAATTAAGGGAAGGGGAAGTTAGAACCACAGACCTGTATTATAAACAGAGTTCTTTCTGTAGGGTTCTCCCAATGACACAGTGTGAGAACTTCCATAAACCCTAGCTCTTCCCATAGACCAGCCTATGTTCCCTTAAAGTTCCAGTAAGTCTTTATCACTCTCAAATGTTGCTGCATACTTAAATGCATCGTACTCTTCTTGGCACCATTGCTGCTAAACTCTCCTGATAAATTTAGTACCCCTCTGACCCCATACATAGTTATTAGAATATTATTGACTATATTCCTTATGTGTACTTTACATCCCCATGACTATTTTGTAACAACCAATTTGTACTTCTTAATCCCTTCACCTTTTCACCCACCCCCTCCCATCTGGCAATGGTCAAAATATCCTCTGTATCTATGAGTCTGTTTATGTTCTACTTCTTTGTTTTTTAAGGTTATTTTGTTGATAGATATGTATTTATTGCATTTTATTGTTCGTATCTTTTCCTCCTCCTCCCGTCTCCCTCCCCTTCTTTTAAAGAAGACCCTTTAACATTTCAAGTAATACTGGTTTGGTGGTGATGAACTCCTTTAGCTTGTTCTTGTCTGGGAAGCTCTTTATCTCTCCTTCGATTCTAAATAATAGCTTTGCTCGGTAGACTAATCTTGGTTGTAGGTCCTTACTGTTCATTACTTTCAATATTTCTTGCCAATCCCATCTGGCCTGCAAAGTTTCTGCTGAGAAATCAGCTGAGAGTCTTATGGGAGCTCCCTTGTAGGTAACCAACTGCCTTTCTCTTGCCGCTTTTAAGATTCTCTCTTTGTCTTTAACCTTTGGCATTTTAATTTTGACGTGCCTTGCTGTGGGCATCTTTGGGTTTTTGTTTTTTTAAAAAAATATATCTTTATTGATTTCAGAGAGAGGAAAGGAGAGGGAGAGCGAGAGATAGAAACATCAATGATGAGAGAGTCATTGATTGGCCGCCTCCTGCATGCCCCTGACTGGGGATCGAGCCCCCAACCCGGGCATGTGCCCCAACTAGAAATCCAACCCCGGTCGCCCAGATCCCAGGTGGACGCTCAACCACTGAGCCACGCCTGGCTGGGTAAGGGTTTATCTTTTGAGACTCTCTGTGCTTCCTGGGTTTGTATGTCTATTTCCTTCACCAAGTTAGGGAAGTTTTCTGTCATTATTTTTTCAAATAGGTTTTCATTTTCTTGCTCTCACTTCTTCCAGCACCTCCATGATGCAAATGTTGGTATGCCTGAAATTGTCCCAGAGGCTCCTTGCAATATCTTCATTTTGGGGGATTTTTTTTTTCTTTTGCTGTTCTGATTGGGTGTTTGTTACTTCCTTATGTTCCAAATTGCTGATTGATTCTTGACGTCACCTACTTGACTGTTTATTCCCTGTAAATTGTTCTACATTTCAGTTTGTATTCTTCATTTTTGACTGGTTATTTTATTGGTTTCCATGTCCTTTTTTATGCTTTTTAAGTTCTCTCGGTTCAACTACTCTTCCCCTAGGTCTATTGAGCATCCTTATAACCAGTGTTTTGAACTCTGCATCTAGTAGACTGCTTGTCTCTGTTTTGTTTAGTTATTTTTCTGGAGTTTTGTTATGTTCTTTCATTTGGGATGTGTTTCTTTATCTCCTCATTTTGGCAGCTCCCTTGTGTTTGTTTCTATTTTATTAGGTAGAGCTGCTATGTCTCCTGGGCTTGGTAGAGTGGCCTAATGTAGTAGGTGTCCTATAGGATCCAGTGGCTCAGCCTCCCTGATCACCCAAGCTGGGCATTCCAGTTGCACACACTTTCTCACCCCATGTGGGCTGTGTATACCTTCCTGTTCTAGTTGAGCCTTGA